TCAGCAACTCTGACGCACAACATTAGTGACCTAAATGATAACATGCAATGAAAGTATTCTAAAACAAAAGGAAAAAGGGGAAGAAATGAATGAAAAAAATATTACCATACACAACATCCAACACAAAGTACTATCCTATGTTGTTATAGCTTTGGGTGCTGTTCAGCACCATGATGTTCTCATAATTGAGAGAAAATAGAAAGAGTCTCCATGATGGAACAAGCTGACATAATATAAGGATACACATCAAGGTGATGGGCAGTTCTGGCCTGTCAAAAATGCTACTGCAGCTTCAGCAGACATACCTCAACTAGCTTTTCAGCTGCCTGCTAACAGCATGGGGTCATTCCGAGGCTGTGAAACCTGTCTGAGAGTGAATAAATACTCAGATAACTAGTCTTGGCACATTGCACTGGATAATTACATCTGACAATCTTTTTCATGCCTTCATCCTGCTACACTTTTCAAGCTGTGGTCCCCAACCCATGCATGGAGACACTTATTACTCGCAGTCACAAGCCATCACCACTACTACAGCACACACCAAAAAAGCAAAACACCACAGCTTATATTATTGCCTAAGAGGCAGCAAAGAGATGTCTGTTATCAAAAGTTCAGTGGTTAAGATAAAAAGTATTTAAATGGCATTTTAAGCTATGGCTACGTGCATTTCAAATTTTTACAAACTCCTAAAAGGACGCTTGGCAGTGGAGCATTAGGTGGAGTGAAAACAAAGAAGAGCTGAGAGGAACTGAGATTTCCTATTATGAACACAATTACTGACTTCTAAAAGACCACAATCTGATTTTGACAGTCATTTAAGAAGTTTCAGGAGCAAAGGATGTTGGGAACAATCTGTAACAGAGAATAAAAAACTGTCCCTTAGTCCCAGAGAAACAGAACCTGAATTATTAACTGGCACTTTCAGTACCCAACGTACTGAAATAACTGAAAAAAACCAATTTTCTAAAATGGTGAAAATATTCTATAGATCTCAGCTCAAAACTATCTCTCAATAAGGAGCTCTAAAGCTATGGGAGGAAAAAAGAGGCAAAGTTTAAAAATTTGAAGAGATTGAAGGGAAGAAAAAAGCTACTTTTTTCAGAAGAGAAAAAAGGCTTACAGACTACCTGACTAATTGTATTTCAGTCAAAAACTAGGTTCACAACATATGAAGTGCTTGAGGTAAAAGAAATCAGTGGCATATCTGAATTGATTTTACCAGCATTGAAGGGGACCAAAAATCATTCCTGAAGTCCCCTTTCTTATGTACAAATTTTAACTCAATCAGCACTGAATTTAAAGGTCTCATTAAAACTTGTACTTCCGTTTCCCTTTGATCCCTCTCGCTTGGTGCAATATTTTAAGGGATAATTAATGGAATACTTCCAAGGAATGGACAAAAAAATCCCCTCTACTTACTATAATTTTTCTTGAATCTTCATCCTTCAAAACTATTTGTCTGTAGAAATGACAATTTTTTAACCAATTAACATTAAACACAATTAATATCATTCTTTTCTGGCTTGTGAATGCTTAAGATTCATGGTTTTGTGGAAATAGGAAATTCAGTAAAATATCAGTACAAGCCTTTAGATTTGTGTTATGTTACCATGCCCTATTTAGCCACAACACAGGTCCTCTCTCTTTATCCTAGATGCAGCCACATCCTATAGTCTGTGAGGAGGATACCAAAGAAATCCTTGATGCCTTGAAATGTTGTTTTTAATATAAAACAAACAAGCAAACAACAGCAAAAACCCCAAAGAAAGAAACAAACAAAAAAACCCAAAAACCCCCCACCTTTCTGCATTTTTATTCCTAAACTGTTTTAATAAAGAACATTTCATCTCAGTTTGGGTTTAACAGCTTCATTTGAAGATCTGTTTCTCTCAGGAGTAAATATTGGCCTGCAGGTAGCCTCATCGGTTGCCTCTTAAATTTCTGTCCCTGGACGACTCTGAATATTCACCCATGGCCCCACCTTCCTTACAGTAAGTCACATGCCAAAGTGAGTCAGCAAAATATGCTTAACTGTATTCCAGAGAATCGATGCTTCTATTACATAAATGAATAAAAGCGGCCAGAATATGTATTTCCTTACGAGCTTTTCTGGTTTTATTCTCTCTGTTTGGGAAAATGCAGAGATGTGTATTACATTCCAGCTTCATGGCACACAAACACTTAGACTCTATAAAAACCCAATTTAAAAATCTTAAAATCATCCTAAAAATTTGCCACTGTCTACTATATCACTATATTTTTCTCTTCAGTTTAAGATGTTTTCCCTTAGCTGTAAGGATGGAAAATGGATACCATTAAACTGTTTTTGTTAAGTCCGTGACAGAGTTCAATAGTTTTTTTTCCTCCCCCCTGAGTTCACCATCATCTTTCCTCCACCAGTGCATTATTCCTGTGTGTCATCCTCTTCTAATTCCTGTGACAAATATAATCGTAACGATTTTATTTAGGATCAACGCTCCACTCACAATGCGAAAAGGCAAAAAGTTAAAGCAGCTGTGTCACTTGGCTCTGCCTAGAAGTCGGTCAGGGCAAAGGCAAGGCAGCTGTGGGGAACAGGCAGCAAAATCTGTTGCCTGCAGGAAACAGATCTGGGGACTGACAGGAGCCAGGCAGCACCACCAGCAGCTACTGCTTTATTAATTTTACTGTGTTTCAGGGAGGTGAAGGACTGAAACATCAATAAAGACAGAAAAACACACCTTGTCATATTTTAGATCTATGGCGTTAGGTTTAATTTAAACATATATTTAAACATTTATTTCAAACATTAGCACCAATTGTACGTAATATTTTATTTAATAGTATTAATTTAAATATTATGCTAGACTAAGTATTACACTGTTATAGCCTCTAAATAAAATTATTTCCATACATTACAACCTGGAATGACTTTCAACATTTGACTAGAGAAACAAAAATGCTAGTGTAATTACAACCTTATTCCATTTTAAAGCACAAATGATTTAAACAACTAATTTTGTGTTTTCTGTTTTCTGTGACTGGAATAACCCATTGTTATAGCAGGTTGATTTTGCCAGCGCCTTTACTACTTTGACTGTTCACAAGTTGTCTTACAGTTTCAGACGGTGTCAGACCTAGAGACTACATCTTATGCCAGCTGGAGTGGGAACATTGGTTTGATGTATAGAAATGCAGCTTTTAAAAGTCAGGGTCTGCTAGCAGTTTCTCTACAAACTACAATGGCAGCTGTGCTAGAGGTCATGAATATTACATAAGGGCTGTCCATGCATTCAAGCCAGCATCAGTAAGCCAAATTCCCATAGCAACACTCACATAGATTTACTCATTGCTAAGAGATGCATCAGTTCAGCAGTAACGCTGCACTGCTACCCTGATTAATCTGCAAGATACTATTACTTCAACTCTTCTTTTAAAGATTGTGCATTTACTGATAAAATTCAACACTTCACCTGAATTCCAGGGCAGCTTTTATCACCCTTCTCAGAGCAAAGAAATCTCCAACCAGCAAAAATTAGCTCTGATAAAACTGAAACTCCTGATAGAATCAGCAACATTTCTGAGATACTAGGCTGAAGGGAAAAAGCAGACTGCTTCTGTTGAGTTTCTGCTATACTGATCCCAGGACCGCAAGAGATGTTCTTCAAAGAGATGTTCAGCATCACTTACAGTTGGCACATTCCAGCAGCTCATTAAAAAGCTGCTTTAGGAGCTCTTATTAAATATCAGTTAACAACTACATTTTCAAAAAAAACCATTTTTGGCTTCCCTATTCAGGTTTTCTGGCCCAATGAAGATGTTTGCTTGTATATTATAGTCCTGTATTATTTACAGAGCTGGTCCTTGCCATACAATCAGCTGCATAGCTCAGTGATCTGGACTCAATGGATTTCTGAAGAACTCTTGTAAGACAGGTGGCCTAAATGAGCAGAGGGAAAGCTAGCAGTGGAAAATTAAATGGAATGGGAGATGGAAGGGAGATAGAGAAATAAAAAAACAAGGCAAAATGGAGGAGGGGAGTTAGAGGGAAAGAGAGAATGCAGATCAGGTAGATCTGAGGAGGGATCTCAACAGTGTATTTAAATATGAGATATTAGAAAGAAAAACAGATTTTGGAAAACAGTAATACGCTGAAATCTGGCAGGTAGCTTACAAAAAAACTAAAACTGGAATGAAGTGATAAATGAATGATAACAATTAAGATGAGCACAATTTTCACAAGTACAGTAGTATTTAAAGATACAGCATGGATGAAAGAAAAAAAAGCCTGTTGACTTCCACTGCTAAAACCTTCACATTCCTAAATGCATCTCATGGAAAATATATAAACACACATCAAAAACCAAAAGTTTATTTAGTGTTTTCTTACTAAATTGTCACTATTTGCCACGAGTATGGAGATAGGAGACCTATATATTACTCATGGGGTCATTTAACACACAAAGTATAAAGAAAGTCAATGAAGTCTTCAGGAAAAATCACCCTTGTAACAGATTCTCCCAATTTACATATGATTTGTAGGGACTGATCCTTCATTGAAGGGAGATGAATACAATGTTTGAGGGCTGATTTTTGGAACTGCAAGCTTTGAATGCCATAGCAATCCATAGGCAAACTTTCACAAACATCTTCAGTAAAAACTCATGGTTTTGACCCTATACACTGCAATAAATGCATATATTTAATAAAAGAATAAATGCACAGGTTTAAATAAGAATGTTCTGAAAGACGCAAGTCAATCAAATCCCTTTTATGGAAAAGTTATTTCAAGTGATTTGTCACGGAACATATATTTTCACCTGCTGCCTGGAGTATGTTTATAAGAGGTCTAATCTATATGTTAGCATATTAAAAACATTTTATGAGTAATAGATGAGATGACAGTCAAAGAATCATAGCATGGTCTGAGTTGGAAGGGACCTTAAAGATCCTCTAATTTCAATCCCCCCTCTATAGCCGAGCATTTTATGAGTTTGTGACTGGAAGTAACACCTTACCTTTGCTTTCTCAAGCTGTGCCTGGGCCTGTCGCTCTGCCTCTCTCCGCACTGCTTCCCTATCTTCTTCCAGAGATACATCTGAATCAGATGGACGGCTGGTGTAGGAGTCCGCCGAACCCTGCACAAGAAAAAGAAAAAATATGTCACAAGTTCCTTTGATGTTTAAAAAACAACAACAACAAAAAAGTAGAAGTGGCTATACACTTTGCCTTTTTTCTTACTTCTGTATCCCTGAAAATAGAGTAACTGTCCAAAGCAAAAAATCACTTTGAAGAAATTATGCCTAGGTTAATATTTTCTTCTGGAAACTTTCCAAAAGTGCAGGTGTCTTCCCCAGTGTTTTGTTTCCTGCACTATCCTTGCACTCTTATTTGTGCGCTTTTCAGCAAGCAGAGCCAGTTGCTCTGTAGAGCTACAGCACTGGTGCAGTGCAGGGCTGAAGGACACACAGCAGCTTCAAGGATGGCTCCACAGAAACGAAAACTCTAAACAGAGACAGAAATAGCAAGCTAATAGACTTTCTATAATCAAAATGCAAATTCAGTATCAACAATTACCATTACACAATATCACTGCTAAGAGATTTAACCTTTTCTATGCATTTTTATTTTAGGGCAGCCTCTTTACCTGACACACTTTCCCCATCAGAACTGCAAATGGCTCATATCCATCTCTGCCCCTCAGCAAAACATGCAAATGACCACAAATCAACTTCCAACTAATAAAATCCGTCTGGACTCAACACATGTCCCCGTATCGCCACAATGGAAGCAGCCACAATGCCAGAACAGCTCTATAAATAATGACAGCTCTGCTTTCCGTCTGCATCTCCCTGCATACAAAATAGAGTTCTGCTAATTCAATCAGAATGAAAACAACTGTCCTCTCCTCACCGTCTTTTTTCTCTCTGTCTCTGCAATACATACAGTATAAGCTGATAAGGAAAATGCAGGGCTTACACAGATATCAGAATTCTTCAGACGTCCTCCTTTGGCTCTTTTCAGAAGCCTGATCCAGGTGGCCTTCATTAGCCAGACAGCTCAGTTACTGTCCGCAGCTGCAGCGCCCGGCACTGATCTCATAAAACATGTGCACACTGAGCACTGCAGAATCACAGCTCCTTTCCTATCCATGCTCTGCTGTGAGAGCCTTCCTTCTCTTCCCTCTGCCTTTCAAGCTTCCAGCCTCACTGTTTCCAAGTATTCTACTGCAATTAAATTCTCAAATTTTTTCATGCCAGAAAAAAAATAAAAATATTCATTCCCAAAAAATCCACACCACCTCCAAAAATCTCAACTTGAATGATAAAAACATAAAATAAAACCGGCTTCAGGTAAATGTTGTGAGAGATGCTTCAGCTGATCAGAAACTCAGATCGATGACAGAAAAATACCTAGGGCTTTTTCCTTTCTGTTTTGGGGGGCGGATTTGGCTGTTAAAAATAGTGCTTGCAAGAGAACCTTTTAAAATCCTGTTCAAAATGTATTCAGTGACATTTGCAAGTGCAAAGTTCATTTCATCTCTTCCTAGATTGGCTGGGGGTGGGGTAACAGGCTGTTCATACCACTGGGCATGCTCCATATGTGCAGCCTTTTACGCAGATGCTCACATCACACCGGGCTGTTAGCCTATGCCAAATTGCCATTTTACATCTCCAGGGTAAACAGCTGGAAAACGCAAGGTCCCTGTGAAACTGGAAAAGCTGGTACAGCGTCTCGTTCCCTTCATGTATGTCTGCTGCCAGCCACGTTTCCTTTGGACGCTCGGTTCTGTCACGCAACGCTGCCCTCCGCTGAGCAAAGCTCTGAGCTCCACTCACAGCTCCCTTACAAAAGCCAAAATTATGCCTGTTGAGTGGGAATTTAACCCCCTGGTTACTGTTTATATTTTTTCTGACATTAGCAGAAGAAAGAAGCGAAGAATAACTGCAACACACAACACGTAAATATTAGATCCTAATATGGCAAAAGCCAAACAAAACATTAAATTTCCCTATTCTGCTTTTCCGAGTTACCCTCTACCCTTTAATAAATTGACATGGGAGTAACATGGTAAGGCATTTATGATGTACTGATGGACATACAACAGCCAAAAAGATTACTGTAGCTGACTGCAGTGCCTGCCTTCAATATAAGTTCACAGTCACAAGATAAACAGCAAATAGAGATTACAGCTGAGAACAGTAGTCATACATATGTTGTAGCATGTGTCAGGAAGGTTTGAATTCTGCCATGGTTTATGTCTGTATAACAATGAAATTGCCCATCACAAGTGATGCAGCAGCCTACATTTCACCATTATTAAAGCAAACAACAGTTGTCACTAAACCCGTGGTTTATAATAAAGCAAATTTTTAACTTTCCAAATGTTTTATTTTTTTTTTCCTTTTCTGAAGCCTGTAATTGTTACAGCATAGAGTTTTATACTCTGTGTTTGAACTGACATAAAAAAAACCCCTATTCTCCAAAGGGTATTTTGCTTTTCAGAAGTTCAGATACATCTGCTATGTTCCAGTGACTGTTCAAATCTAAAATGCCTCCTGAGCTAGAGCAAAAGGAGCAGAAAACAAAGGACAATACACTCAAACTTTCTTGAATTTTTTAAAATATCTCGTTCGTTAAGAAAATGCAGAGGCCCTGTAACATCCCTGTAACGTCCCCAAATCCTGTCAAATTTTGCTATTCTTTAAAATTTCCCTTTGCCACAACTTCTGACACACCTGCCAATGAAAATAGTGAGAAAAGATGAGCAGCAACAGAAGTTTAGTGTAGAGTTTAAATCCTGTCATGGTTGACACAACAGTGGTCTATGGACAAAACCATTTATGTTACTACAGCACTAATCAAAGCTGAGCTCCCCCATAGAGTCCCAGCCCTCAGGACACTCTGCTGTCGTTCCTTGGTGCCACTCTGCTCCCTGAAGCAACACTACCTTTAAGTAAAAGGAAAACAAACAAAGAAGCCATTAAGCCTGACATGGCAATCAGATGATGGCTAGTGTAGGTGTTCCCTTCCTACAGCACTTCCATGGTGAGCACATCATATTTGACACTGACCAAGTGGCATAGCATCAGTTTTACTGTCCTTCATTCTGCTGTCCACAAGGGATGCTCCCTAAATGGTTCTCACCCTATAAAAAAATTCGTGAAGCACAGTAACATAATTCTTATCTCCCCTAAGGGGGCAAAATGCCTTTTGGGTCAGGCCAGAATCACTAAAATTGGAATTTCAGCTTCCAGGCCACAGAGATCATTTACAGTGCTGGTCATGTCTTATGTTGGCCACAGTCCCAACACACATCCAAAAAATCATAATGACTCAATTTATTTTAATTATATTGACAAATCACATGAATCAAACTCAACATTACATTTATTTTCCCAGTGGGATGGACATGGTCATGCAAATTTTCTGTGGAAAGGAGAAGTTGGAAGCTTCTTTGCTTCTTAAATATGGAAAAAAATCAAGTCTTACAGCAGAGTAATCCAGGAAAATGGGTAGCATATAATTACATTTAATTCATTGTATAAACTTCTGAACATTTTTATTTACACTAAGAATGCAATCACTTTAAGATGAAAAAAAATCAAGCTTTGATAAAAACTGTGATGAAATTGTAATAGAAATACCCTACTATTTAAGAAAAATAATGACAAGTGGATGTGCATTGTCCATTCATGACAACCAAGGAAACTACATTTCTTCCCTGTTACTTAAGCTTATGGGGTTGCTCTGGAGAACAGTATGAATCTTTTCCCAAGAGCTTCAGAAATTCAGCCTTTTTGAAATTCTGCAGGTCTCCACCTTCTTCCACCGCAAAATGGAAGAGCTGTAGTAATATATGTACGTAATATATTGTACTGCAGCCCCCAGTTCATCATCTTTCATGGGAAACTGTCTAAGAAAAGTGAGATAAGTCATGTTAATAATTACTCCATCTATTTATTATTCCTCTTCTTTTCTTCCTTACTTGGCAGGTTTACAAACTCATTTTGTTCAAAAAAGAATTTCCTGTTTTAATAACATGCTTGACAAATATTTGACCAACCATCTTACCACTTATTATATCAGAGTACTTTCTATGAGCTATTCTCATAATGTGAACCCATGTTTTTCCCATTGCTAGTGGTCATATGGGATCATATTTGAACTCCTTTTCCTTCAAGACCATAAATGTCTTATGTTCTTCAGTATTGTAGAAGTTCTACAGTATTGTAGAAGTGCGTCATCTTCAAACGATTGGGTTCTTCAAGTAAGAGGGGTTTTTATCATTTCCCTTTACTTGCAGGTAGAAACTCTTTAGGTAAATTAGGTGGTGCCTCTAGATCTCTTAATTTTCTTGCTAGTTTTCTGTACTCACGCTTAACTTTCATCTGTACAGTTGGAGCTTAAGTACAGATTTTGACTGCAGTGTTACATTAGTAGCGTAAAATCTGTTGATGTGTTTGTTCTGGTAGAGTAATAAATTCTCACTGGGTTAATACAACTACCATTACTCTTGCCAATTCAATCATAGCTTTTATATTGTATCTTTGTCATAAAAATAAAAGCAATCCTCTGAGTACCATGAGTCTTTAACAGACTCTAATCCACTTATTAATTAGATATCATTAGAACAGATAATTTTCCAAATTACTGAAAATTCTCAAATAATTCCCTTTTTAGAAAGATCAAACAAGTTCCTTCAAGTTAAGACTTTTTAAATTATTATTTATTAAATGAAGGCATGAAGCAGTAAGCAAACATGTAGCAAGATTTTACCAGGAATAAAGAAATACATATGACGGCACATATATATAAAACTCCTCATTTATGATACTGGGGTCTTCTCTGAGGTATATTTGTCATCTTTTCATTCATTTAATGCTGATGAAAATTTTAAATCCAAAAGGAGAAATATATTTATGTCTTAATTTGATTTATACTTTGAATATGGAAAACTCAGGCCTCACTGCGCCAATAAGAAGAACAATTCATTTCAATATTCAGAATGCATAAAGAGATATTGTTAACTGCTTATCTTCTTATCCTGTTGCAGTAGTAAGAATGACATCACGTCCTGCTAGGACATGATTTGAGATGGTATATTATGTCCTTGTGATATGCAACTACTTCTGGA